GGGCTAGGAGCAATTGATCGGCCATTTGCGAAATCAGCGATTGATTTTGTGGGCAACTTTGTTGCGTCTGGTACACACAGTATTGCTGAACCACGTTACTCAATTGGTTTTGTTTGCACTAGCGCCAGATCTGTGGTGCTTTGTTGATTGACTTATAAGGAAGGTGCGCTCATCATAGTGACTTGACCATGCGCCATTAGCCCCCCAGTCAGCAGGTTGGCGACACCATACGTCTCAATATGCCAGGCATGGCGGGGGAACGCCCCAGATCCATTTTTGTGGAATGAAAAATTTGTGCTTATACCGTCCGTACAGCTTGAAGTAGCTAGCAAGGCCAACTACGACGTGGGGTAATCATAGTAAAGCAATGGTCCAAGACTATGACTCAATCGACTAACGTAATGGCAGAGCAATTGATTATTCACAGCCTGCACACGTGTGTGTGGCCAGACCCCCAGTATCTGTTCCCTGACGCGCACAGAAATTCACTTTCCTAAATTGGCGGAAATGGTTCGCAGACAACAGTTTTGTTTTGTTTGAGGATGCACTAAATGGTATGGAACAGCATGGAAGGGCGGAAAAATGCGGAATAGGGGGTAAGGGATATTAGTGCAATTCCTCGTCTCCTTTCAGCGGTAAACGCGATATGAGAACTTGGACTAGGAACAACTACTATCTTAACGACGTATTCTTGCGCATTGCCACCGTCAATCTAGTCATGATAAGCTTGCCACCCTCTCTTTGACCACTCATAGCGCGTCAATAGAGGCCACCTGGCTTCTTTTACTGCAGCATACCACGCAGGTATTTTTTCCACCACGTGCCCTCACTATAGCTCCTATTGCCACTTCCGAGGGTTTCGGGAGCAAGGCTATGCACGACACCCAGCACTTGAGGCTACCGTGTGCAGGTCAGGCAGTGCGGCCGTCGTCACATAAAACAAATAACTCGTGACCACGAAAAAAAAAAATCACTCCCATTTTTTTTTGCTCTCCCAGAGTCGTTTTATCCTTGACGGTTTAGCTCAGGATAAACATCCATCACAACAAACCAAAGCCCACCACTGTATCTACCTGATCGCAGGAGCTTCTACTTGGTGGTTACTACAGGTTTTACCCACTCTTTGGCAGCTGTTCGCCCTTTGGTCGTCGAATTTTTGCCACCCCTTTTTTTCTGAAGCCTTGATTGGTGGAGGGAAAACTTTGCGAACTGCACGTGACAACATCCTCGTGACTTTCGCACCCGAATAAAGGTTACTGTCCCCTATATACAGGACTACTCTTAACCGCGTACTCGCTGGCTTTAAGAGTCTTTATCTCGGGATTTACTGATTATGGCTTTGTGTTCTCAAGCGTTCCCGTCGCTGACGAAACGCAGCTGTCTGCTGTTGGGTGTCGCGCCCGAATTTTCTCGCAAGCGCATGTGCTTGCCTGTGGTTCGGCCCGACCTCGCGTCGCTGTCGGATGATGATTCGGAAGACGAAGCGCACTGTTATCAAGCAGAACAAATCAGAGCTAAGCGCCGGGCACTGTCGCGGGTTTCCTTTGTGATTGATCGTGATTTGTCCCGCGCTTGCGCCCAATATCTGGATGAAGATGAAGAAGATACTCTTCAGTTTATCCAAAAGCACGGCATGGGCCTGCCATTTGGCCAGACCTTGCCCCTGCTGAACCCGCCCGACTTGGACTTGAGCTGTGGGCGTCGCAACTCTTCTTTCTTGCAGATTAGCGACGCTCCTCATCCGGTCGGTATGCCGTCGCCAGTGCAGTCGCCCATGGAGCTGTCGCAAGAGGATCGCGCCGCGCGTACGCGTTGCTTTGATTACCTCGTCGGCGCTATTGACGAAGCATGGGCTCGTTACTGCGATGCCGCCACTTACGTTGAAGACGAAGTGTATGGCTACAACACCCCGCAACTGGTGGTGACTGACGACGAAGAGGACTACTGTGACAACACCACCGACATCACCGACTACGAGGATGACGATGAGGAGGCTGTCAAGCCGTCGCAGTACCTGGCTCCCGTGAGACCTCAGTTTAAGCCACGGATGCTGATGCTGGGTCCGCCCACCCCTGCGGGGCTGGCGGCTCTGGCTTCTGGTGCTCCCCACTTGCAACACCTCAAGGACCGTTTGACCAAGGCCAAGTACTACTTGCAAGACCTCGTCGACTCTGACGATGGCTACAACGTGCTGTGCTTTTGGAAGCGGTGGGACATGATCAAGTACGCCACCATCGAGTTGGTGGAGGACGACGATGATGATGAGGTGGTGGAAGCCACCATTGAGGAGTTGGAAGCCGGCAGAATGGCGTAATCGAGAAAGCCTAATACTCTGGCACTCGCGCCCTAGTCTGCTGGATATGTGTTATGAAATTTTTTTGTAAATTGGTTTTTGGGTTGAAGGTGTTTGATTTTGAGGTTAAAGAAAATGACGGATAGGTTGTTTATATACATGTAATATATCATCAACAAAAATAATCGTGGGTGGGAGGTGAAGTGAATCAGTGGAAGATGATTATGATTTGGTGATGATATATCTATATTCTTGTATCTAGTGAATTAAAAATATAAATTAGAAATAAAAACGAGTGTAGCAGGCAAGAAGTGCCTATGTCTATAGATGTCATAATACAGGGAGCCCTCCAAGACGGAGAGCTCAAATGTTAAACCCAAAGTCATTCATCACCAGATCAACGTCCTTCCACAACAAATCGCCGTTTAAGTCGATATTCTCGAGCTCGAGATGGTCCATCCCCGACGCCAACGGCAGCTCGCCAATTAAGCGTGACGACAGCTGAGTAGTATTCTTCAGGATGTCGGGCAGGTTCTTGGGCAGCGACCCGTCGGAGGAGCCCAGGTGGTTGACCACGTTGAATATCAGCAGCCGCTTCCCCAGAGCCGTCACCAGGATGGGCTGGGGGTCCAAGGGGATGGTGCGGATGATCTTGCGGGCCTTGGACTCGGCGTTGACCGTCTGCAGCAACAGACGACGACGACGGCGGTTCAGCAGAGTGGTGGACCCGGGCGTCAGACCACTGACTCCGCCAGGAGCATTATTAGCGGTTTCAGAGTCCACAACATCGTCAACAGCTTCTTCATCGTCGTCGTCACCACTCAGAGGGGCGAGCTCCTCAGGGTCGTCGCGAGGAGGACGGCTATTAAGCTTAATCATCCCAACTTGGTCTCTCACCAAATAGAGACAGTCAAAGAATACCAGTGCCGCCATTCGTCCTCGGATGGCTACGGAGAGCGTCAGCAAGTTCTTCGCGTCGAGAGCTCTGAAGAGCTGCCACATGTTGCGCATGATCCCCAGCAGTCGATGAGCGATATCGTGTTTGAGGATCAGCGCCTTAGCGGCAAGCAGAATCGCTGCCTCGTAGGCAGACTTGCCCAGCCCCACGTCGATAACCTTCTTCAACCGCGAGTGGGTGAGCTTGGCAATGATACACCCGGCCTGCCAAATGTTCAATATGTACACCAGGGGCAAGTACTTCACGAACTTGCGGTCAGTTTGCTGGCAGGTGCGGGTGTGGTTGATGAGGGCAATCGCCAGGTTGTAGAGCTGGACGAGGCCCTTTTCCACTTCGAACAGCGCCACCCGCAGCGAGTCGATGAAGTGGTAGGTGAGTAAGTGGACCCGGGCACAGAGAAGCTGGAATCGCCGTAACCCGTCGTGGGGTAAGTCTGCCGCCATCCTCAGTTCGAGTTCATCTAAGCGACGACCAAGTAATTTGAGGAGGGGTAGTCTTTCGGTAGGGTCGACGAGGCCAAACGTGTCCATGGGGTTCAGATTTAACGTCCGTGCCACCTGATCTTCAAAATACGCCACTTCCATCATATACCTTAATTCTAAGGGGATGGTGACGTGCTGAGAACGAAGCATGTTCCACACCAGGGCATCGAACTGAGAGAATGCAGGGAACCCAAATGCCAGGGCAATTGTTTGCAGCACCGTGTTCAGGGCAATCCACGTCTTGGCGTTCTCCTGAGCCATTACCAGTTGGTGAGGAGTGGTAGTGGGGGCCACGTTAATATCAGTAGCGGGAGCCACTGCCTGAGCGGGAGTATGAAGACCAATACGGATGGCCATAAGCATAGCATTGCCCACGGTGTTATAGGATGAGTCAGCAGAGAGTGACAGCGTGATTGGTGGCCAGTATGAGTAAAGAAGAAATGCTTGGATGGCGTATACCAGTAACCCATTAATGATTGGTTCGTCCTCTTCGGTAGGGTTATAGCGAGTGATGGGCAGAATCATGATTTCCGCAAGCACCCCTTTCACGAGCGGTGAAAGCTGTAATAACACTTGTTCCCGTTCTCGGTAGCGTCGTAATGACACAAACATCATCACCCAAAATAATGCCGGACACAATTTGTAAATTCTCTCGGGCCCCTTAGCCACATCCACTACGGGGAGAATCGGATGGTAGCGCACCACGTACTCCAGATACAACTCTCTAATCTGTTCCAGAGTAAGCAGTACTGAGTCCAAGTGTTTATCGTCACAGGCAAGCACGTAATCAGGGATCTCAATCGCCGGCAGCGGGTCGTGAGGGTGGGTTGGTTGCGGTGCGAGCCCCCCAGGTTCGAGTGGCCGGTGGAGGATCAGCGGGGTATTGGGCAACAGCGTATTAGTTTCCAGGGAATTGTGGCTGATGCGGGAGTCAAACGGCAGGCCAAACGGTGGGAACTGGGCCTGAGGTGGCGGGTGTTGATGGATGCCTCCTTGAGGGTGAGGCAGAGTCAGCGGCATCGTTTGCGGCAGCTGGAGCTGTTCGGCGAGCGTCGGCGCCCTCTGTAACAACTCCACCAGCTGTTGCGGCGTCAACAGTTTCTTTAATTCGGTGAATTCCCGCTCGATCTGGGCGATTCGGGCCCGTTTATACGTTCGTTTGTAGTCGCTTTTCAAGTCACACCGGAGCCCCTTTTTCTGGCAGCGAGTACACGGCTGGGGGTAGCGTTCGTGAGCGTTACACCGCAGCTTCTGCTGGCGGCACTCGACACACGCCATCCGCTTCAGCTTCAGCTTCAGCAGCCCTGGGCCCGACGGGGGGGTGGGCGTCAACAGGGCGTCGTAGTCGTCGCCTTCCTGCTTGACGGGGTCGAGCTCCTGCCGCAGGGTCGCCACCCGGGCCAAGTTGTCGAGCGACGTGGGGCCGGCGTTCATTCGGCGGGGATGAGATGGGGTTCACGGAGAGGGGGGTTTAGGTTTAGCAGGCGGCCGATGACGATGAGGCGCGCAATGCGAATTTTAAGGTGGGGGGAGTGGAACGGCACGAGATTAACAAGGTAAATGACATTGAAACGACAATAGAATTTATTGAACGTATTTTAGAAGGTTGATTCCCCAATTTCATTCAATTGCAATTTCAATTAATGTGTAAATTTCCCTTTTTCAATTGCATTACTTATTGTGACTTACCCTTGTGGCTGGTGCGACGGGTGCGATCTGGCGATGCTCACGACACTCACGGCACTGGTGCCGCCGTGGGGTAGTTTCTTTTTTTCTCAATTCGACTTTTTTTTTTTTTTTTTTTTTTT